TGTGTGTGTGTGTGTGTGTGTGTGTGTGTGTGTGTGTGTGTGTGTGTGTGTGTGTGTGTGTGTTTGTTCCAGCTTCAGAGGGTGAGACAATCGAAGCACTTACGGCTTGGCTTCTTGGGCATCAAAAGGGTTCACTTCAGATTCCATCAACATATTTGCCAGGACGAGATACCTGCACAAAAGAGGCGCATCAGTTTAACACTGCTATCAAAGTTGCTACACACAAAAGACAAGTGTCGCATAAGCACAAATCCTCAGGAAGCAGAGCCCGTCTGCATCCCTTCCCTCTTTGATGAACACCTGTAGGAATTAATGTCAAACATCAATTTCAGGAAAGGTGGAGCACCATAATCTCAACTTAAGCCTCGAAAAAATAAAAAAAGTTTGTGGCAATGAGGCGCAGAGAAACTGATCAGAGTCACACTGACAAGACAGAAGACGTCCGAAAAAGAAGTTGCTAGACAAAGACACAAGTGAAGAATGTCCTGGGAACTCAGCATAACCAGAACTTTTCTTTGTTTCCTTCCACAAAAAGAAGACAACGGAATTCAGGTAGGTGCACCCACCAGCAGAAGGGTGAAAACTGACGCTATCACTCACCAAAAACATTGTCATACACAGGAAGGTCAGAATACGGCTTGACCCGAAAGTGCAGTTCCTGGCTAGTCATCATCCAAGAAAAGAAGTAACTTAGCATCAGGGACCCGTAATCTAGGGCATTTGTAATAGCATGACAACCCGTTACCTTGTCCCCATCTGCAAGCAGGCACAAAATCCCCAATTGGGTGCAGAAAGATCCAAACTGCATCCATGCACTGAGTGCGAAAGAGAAGGGTGTTCACGTGAGGCACTCACTTCAAGCACTGAATTCTCCTATGAGTCCCTGCTTCATCGTAGTTCTTGAAGGCCTCAAAGAAACCAGTCGCTGCCTCTGCCCACTGCCGTTCAGCCATGTTCATCTTGCCGCCACATTCATGAATGATCCCCATGATCCGTGGATGTGGGATGGCTGACTTAATTGACAAAGCCTTCTTGTACAATTGCTGTCGAACAGCAAGATAGGGGTGGTGTCCACACACCAATGGATCCACGCACGAACACAGTCGCAAGCGCCTTGCACGGACACATGCAAGCCACCATGCCAGGGAATCTGTAAGCTACTGCCTCAGTGAGAAGATTAAAGACTCCCTTCCCCTGCACCAACTCCTTCCGCCACTCCTGCCACATTTCTGAAGTACCAGCAACACAATCACGAAGGACTCGTTGCATCCTGCAAACAGCCATAAGGAAACCCACCCACTCAACCAACCTCTCAAACCCCATGCTTCAGAAAGGCCAAAACCCAGAGAAGCCATGCGCTAAACACAAACATATCGCACAAGAAAAATTCAAGGCAAGAGACACACCTTTAGCTTCTTGTTGTTCTTAGTTTCCGTATACATCTGAATTTCAATTGCATAAACTTCGAGCAGTTGTGTTCCCTTCTTCTGGTCGTCGCTTCCATCCTCTCTCTGGCATGATTTGTGCAGCTCCTTGAGAATCTGCGAGAACAAGAGGCCACATCCGCATACACAGTCATCGACAGACCCCTATACAAGACTGCAATGCTACAGAGGTAGTACACCGGTGAATCACTTACAGCGGCTCAACCAAGTTGTTTGCCACTGCTGCGAGATGTCATAAAGAATGCGGAGACCGCAAGGGGGGGACTACAATTCGAGTTTCAACTTCCAAAGTAATTCAAATTGCCTGGATGTTAAGAAACACACAAAAACAAAGAACAAAACGGCCTTTTCCGGCCATCCACCAACATCCTGCACCAAGTCAATTGAACCCCAGCAGCCCACTCCAAAGAAACTCCAAACTGCTTATCAAAGGTAGACCAAGAGTACACCTGCGGACAGTATTGTTGAAAAACAGTAGAAGAGGGGAAAGCCACAACGGAAATTTTTCCTTTTCACAAGTTTTCAGAATATTCATTGCTTTCCTATTTTGTTTCAGATGCAGGGTTCTCATATTTGTGTTGTCAAGCCAGACATACCCACATCCTTGTCAGCTAGAAACACAAGCTTGCAGCCTATGGAATGCAGTGGATATGACGTATGAATGAGGGGGGAGCAGAAGAGGAACCCTGGCCACAGGAAAGAGAGGGGGGAGGGAATCCACTTCCATAAGGATTATGTGGATAATAATGACAAAGCAAAACAATAGGGAATTCTCGACACCAGTCACCATTGACCATGCCCACAAAACAGCTGCAGCAAATAGCATGTTGATTGAAGGCCAAGACAAAACACATGCAAGCTTTCCTGTCCTGCTTGCCCTGCAACCGGCATGCCGTATGTCAAGAGTGTTTTAAGCACGGCTGGGCCGAACTGGCAGGTTGGGCTGGGCCGGTCCAACCGGGGCCAGTCCGGCTGAAAGGAGAGACGGTTAATGGAAGGCCCTAAATTCGGGGTTTTTGGCCGCATTACCACAACTAGGTCCACAAAAAATGTCGTCGAAGATTTCCCGAACAAACAATGCAGGCTCATAATACAAACATAAAAAAGACAAACAGGCAAAAAAAAACAGGAAAAAAAAAACAAAAACAAAAGCACTATCGGGTCCTCTGATGCGGAACCCTTAGGACATCCAGAGAGGGTTGGAGAGCAGGATGAGGCTCCATCAGAGGAGGAAGAGACTGTGGAGCGAGAGAAGGCTCCGCCAGAAGAGAGGGAGCAGCATACACAGTCGAATAAGGAACCGGTGGAGTCAGCAGGAACAACATCGGAACGGGACTCAATGCACAATGGTACTGCTAGCGGAAGGGAGCGAGCTGCGTCACATAGTGAGGGTCAACAGCAGCAACACCCTTTGGACCAGATAACCACCAGATAACCAGTAATTAGTCAAGTACTCGTCAAACCCAACTTCGCATTCAACAATGAACATTCACATTAGAGTTCACACGTGAGAAGCCAAATCGTGATATAATCAACACTTGAAGATGTAGTCTCCACACACACGCGCGCAGCAGAACTCAAACAGATGGCGGCTATGGCTTCTCTCTCTCTCTCTCTCTCTCTCTCTCTCTCTCTCTCTCTCTCTCTCTCTCTCTCTCTCTCGCCTCACTCCCTCTCACTCTCTATCCTGGATCGTCACCCTGGATACACCCACTCAGGTAGCTCACACCTTAGCGGCTATGGCCGGCATCCTCCTACCCTACGTCTAGCCTAGCTATGGAGTATCTCACATGTGTGCGCCTCCCCTTCTTCTTCGGGCACGCAGCTGCCAAGTTGCCTTAACGCACAAGCAGCAGCAGCGCTTCCGCATCTAGCAACTGAACAAGTGATGAGCGCTGCACTGTAGCAGCTAAATACAGGACTGGCCTCGCTTGGCTTGACCTGCTTCAGACCGGTACCGGTCGGCGTCGGCCTGTCTGCTGCAAACATTTTGTTGGTCCAGTACCTTCCGGACTTTTCCTGGGACATGCTGCAAAACTGGACTTGGGACTGTCGGACCGGACTGGATGCTTCTGGACTTTTCTTGTCAGGTACAGGACGAGTTTCTACTTCCCTATGACGCTTCGGTACCTGACAACTCCCGACCTACGACATGTCGGACCCCTAGACCCTACAGCCTATCCTACCAGACCGCCCTGGGACTGGGGACTTTTCGGGACCCTGAGACCGGGACTGGGTGTCTGCCGCGTGAATCCTTTCACTCCCGCCCGGAGCCAGCCCCTGTAACAAACCGGTAGACCTGGACACAGTCCCAGTAGACCACAAGCACTACCCGCTGGGTCTGGACACAGCGTCCACGACAGAAAGGAGGCCGCCAGGAAGAGCACATTCAGGCAGATTGCTGCAAGGTGGCAGACCAGAATCCAGAAGACCGGCACCCGAGGAGGAGAGCAGCTGCAGTAGATGTGAGCGTGCCATTTCTCATTTTCTTTTGCAACTTCGGGCCTATTGAATTTTCCGGTAGGTACTGTACAGGACAAAATAGAGATCCGATACCAGTAGGAAGGGTAAACGGTCCTAGTAGTGAGTAGGTAGGAAGTCACCACATCTCCAGTCCCCGTCCAATTGCAGCTCAGTCAGGGGAACATCAAATCTCTGTATGTCAAAGCAGGGCCTGGCAGGAAGAATCTGGAATCACCTGTGAGTGAAAGGCACAGGCACAAAGGAAGGCCAGCGACAGGAACCTCCTCTTCTCCGATTCTGGCAGATGCAGAAGCGCTGCTGCATTGCTGGGCGCCAAGATCTTGGAGTGTCAACAGTGCTGGGCGAGAGAATAGACAACAGCGCTGGGTGCCATAGCTGTGAAGTTGCCGAGAGTGGGGGATCGCAGGCCCTGGGCGCAGTTCAAGTTGTCACTGATTTCTATCGTTGTTGCTTGCGGTCATCGACATGACCTTAAGAAAGTTGTACTTGATTTCTGTCTACTCAAACTGTGTGGATGTTGCTGTTGAGACTCTTTCAGGAGGCACTAGAGTAGGAGATCAGAGAGATGAGCCACCATCTCGCATGGTGACTACATAAGACTCACTCATAAAGCCAAAAGCCACCAGCACACACGAAAAGGAGGAATGTAACATGAACGAGCATGTGTGAAATGCCACCCATGTCACTTATGTAGTTGGCATTGGGAAAGAGAAACAGACAAGGTGGTGACAACCATTCCTTCTTTTTTCCCTTCATCAACAGCTTCACATTAACACTCAGCAACAGATTCAGATTTTCAGCTTTCCTTCCCCTTTCCAATTTCTTCCTCCCCGACTTACAGACCTTGCTCATCCGTCCAAACTCCCCCATATCAAAGAGCAGCTTGCAAAGCTTGAGATTTGTCTTGAACCATAGCCTCTGACAACCACAAAGAAAAGCCAAGAAGGTGAAACCATTGATCAGTGCATAACTGTGGATAAAGACAACTCAACAGCAATAAGGAAAGAAAGCGATCGATTGCCACGTTCGAATCACTGCATATAGGAATATATGCATCGACAACTCCCACTCCCTCCCCCCCGCTCCTTAGCGCAGAAGACCTGTTTTCAATGCAAAAACAACCAGCAGTTTTCTGTTCGGTCATTGCTCCTTACAAGTTCTACAAGCAGCGCTCCCCGGCGACTTTATGAGTAGAGATTAATACTGCAAGGAACATGAGTATGGACGAAGCACAGAAATCCAGAATGCAAAATCACAATGAAGTCCAAGTATTCAAAGCCAAAGCAGATAGCACATGGAACCGAGTAACCATCCCATTGAGAATGATACAGAAGAATCGTGAGTCAATG